TGGTATATGCTCTGCCACTGGGCTACATCCCAGCCCAAAAATAATGTTTTAAAAATTGAATCAAGCGGCTGGGGAGATGGCTCAGTAGGATAAGTGCTTGACTGGCAAATGCAAGGATCTGAGTTCAATCCCCGGTTCCGCAAAAAACAACAACAACAACAACAACAACAAAAACTGAATCAGTTGTTACAAAAACTTCCGCATTAAGCACTCTCAGCTTATAAAAAGACTAATTTAACTTGATTTGATGACAGACACTTGATCATTTTCTTACCAAAGCAGACTATAAATTCTGGTCCCTGTCAGTTGAATTTTCTGTAAGTCCAAAACACACGACTGTTTGGATAGTTTTCTTTTATCCTCTTTTGTTTTTCAGAATCAGTAATTTTTAAAAGTATTTTATGTTTTTCTCTACAGAGAACAGTTTAAAAGGTCTGAAGTATAAAAGAGGACAAGCCTGTCCTGCTCTGAGCTCCACATGTTGTTTGACCAGCTGGTTTTGCTATCCACCATTGCTGCTATGCATTAAAATACATGGAATTATTTTTTTAATTCCTAACTATAATTTTTATAATGCACTTCTGGTCGTCTGTATTGTCTTCTACCACATGTGCTAGTACTAACAACTTTTATTCAATACCTGAAGATCTTTTAGTTGGAGATTGGTGATAGTTTTGGTAGCATAAAGGATATATCTTCCTGCTAGTATTATTATTTTATTTTTTGGAAAAAAGGACAGTATCTGGTTTACATCTAAACGTGGAATGGACTGGCAATACTTTCTACTTTTCAAAGGCAGCGTCAATGTATGTTCTGAAGCACTCTTGTGTATACCACACTAGGAAAAGTGTGTTAAGCTCTTTATTTTTACATATTACTTTATGAAAAGTATTCCAGTATTATGGCTAAAATGATTCTGCATTTACGTTTCTAAAATTACCTCAACGTTCCTCTGAGTTGTCCATAGTTCATAATGACTTCTGCACCTTCCTTATAGCCTTGGTTGAAGCCCTGTTGAAGAGCAACTGCTTTCCCAGCATCTATTCCATCTCTGTAACCTTCCTAAAATAAACAATGAAGAACAGCAGCCAATAACTACACAAAGTGAAGCTTACCTAGGCTTCTCTAGAAAGGTACAGAATCAACTTATAAAACTTGATGAACCCGGCCTCCTTTCTGTGTTATTAAACATAGTATGGCACAGGCACAGAATTCTTTTAACTCCTTTTTTAGATGTATTGGGCAGATTTTAAACATATCTTGTTTGTTTTGAGACAGTCTGGCTAGTTGTATAGTCCAGACTGGCCTTGGACTCACTGGGTAGGCCCCACTGGCCTTGAACTTGTGGTTATCCTCCTTCCCTAGTCTCCCTGGTGCTGCGATTACAGGTGTGGGCCTCTGTGCACAATGAAATGCAGCTTCCAAAACTGTGTTAACAATGTCTTCACAGCCAGCAAATTACATATCTGGTGCTTGGCAAATGGCTGAAATTGTACAGGTGAGTAAGAAGGCTGGGGAAAAAAAGGCTGGCAAAGTTGGGAAAGAATAAACAGCTTTAGGAAAAAGAAGATGAGAGGTCTGGTTTCAAAAATTGTGCTTGATACCCAAATTCAATGAACTGGCACATTCCTAATGAATACAGACCCTGCCTTATAGCTCTCAAGAGTGTCAGAGCTCAATACTTACAGGCCCTCCTGGACAGCATTCTGTAACCGACAACACCACTGTTGGACTAAGCAACTATTAACTTTACCGAAAGATTAAATTAGGGCAGATCCCTCAACTGCGGCTGTATGGGATACGTTAATAGCTGGCAAATATGTGGACGTAAATCTTATCACTCAGTTCTAAATTTTGACGGATCCACCCTGAAATTACGCTTAGTTTCAAGGAACAGTGAGACAAATTAGCAATGAATAGGCCACACTTAATGGAAAGGAAGCCAACTTTAATATTCTCTTACCTAGCCAGAGGCAATTTCACACTACCTCTCCCCTATTTCCGAGATGGCATTCTTAAATCCGCCTTTCCCAAATATTTTGATTGGCGTCACTCCTAATGGGACCCCTACCCATTCAGGGAGCACCCAGGAAGGACCTCACATCCTTGTCGGTGGCCAGTCGCGAGTGGTGCCCCTAAGCTTCTACCCGGACCCTTCCCTGCGATCCTCGTTGAGCTACTAACTCTTCATAAAGTCTGGATGGAGTTTATCTGGGTAGGTCCGCGGCTGCGGCAGCAGCTCACAACCCACTTTCCAGTAACGCTGGGAAGTCCGAGTGAGATCCCGGCAGGCCGGGGGCAAGCAGGCCCGGGACCCCGCCTCTTCACAACCCCAGAAGCCCGTCCCCGCAGCTCGGCACCCAAAGGACCCCCGCGGCCTCCGCCCGGGTTTACTTTGACTCGATTGTGCATGTGGCTCCGCCATTCTCGCTGTACCAGAAGCGACTCATCCGCGTCCTCGTCAAACACGTCTCCCTGGTCTCCAGCCTCCTTCACGGACAGAGCCGCGGGAACCCACGACATCGCCGAGGCAACCGACCCGGGAGCCGACCACCGGAAACGCCCGCGCCTCCTTCCGGTCCGGGGGGCGGGGCGAGGCCGCGGCCGGGCGGGCGGCTGCGCGTGCGGGGTAGGGGTCCGGGTGGTCCGCGGGCCGCGGGTCTTGGGTTCCTGGTGACTTGGGGGCGCCCGGAGGGACGCACAGAGAGTACGTCTGTGGTGGCGCGAGGCGGGTACGCCCTGGCTGTGCCCCTTGACCCTGCTGTCAGCGCCGGGCCGCCGCGCCCCGGGTGACGCCCTGCGCGCCGCTGCTGGCTATTGCCCTCGGTCGAGGCGCGTGCTTTGCCGAAACCCTTCGTGGTGTGGACCTGACAGCCCAAGGCTCCTTTAGGATT